GCCCCCTTGGGCTCTCAGGACCCTGCACCGACACAGTGGGGCGTGTTCCCAACGTACAGGCTTACAGGACATGGGGCACTAGTCCTGGCTGCCTCTTGTCATCCTGCCTGAGCCAGGATTTATGCCACATGTATGAGATGTGCAGGGTCGGCTGCAAGAGCAGGTTTAATGCGAGCAGAGCCTGTATCTGAGTGCAAACAGCCCAGAGAGGGTGTGGCAGCCAGGGGAGGTTTTGGGGTGGTGCCCTGAGGAGGTCGGGACCGCTGCATAGGGCCAGGCTGGCGCCACATGCTCCCACCATGGGTCACGGTGCACAAAGGGCAGCGCCAATGGGCTCATTAACCTAGCGGGCGTCTGCTGAAACAGCGCAGAAGGGGAGGGTGTAATTGGATTTTTTTTTTTCTTTTTTTTTTTTTTAAAGCGTTGCCTTATTAATCAGTGCATTAATTAGTCTTGGACAAGGTTCCTGGGATTGCTCAGGCAACATTTGGGTACCTAACAGCTTGGTTTAGCTCTTGATGCTGGGAGGTAGGAGCTCCCACTGTGACAGACTAATGCAAAATACATTAGCATTAATGGTTGAAGCTCTGGAGCCATTGGCGCCCAGCAGTTAAAAAAAAAAAAGCACGCATGGTATTAACAGGCATCAACCAGCATATCCCCCTCCCCCAGCCTAGAGGGTCAGCCAGTGACAGCCTGGGGGCTGGATGCAGCCCCCTGGAGCCGTGGGATCTGGCTCATGGCTGTGGGGCTTCGGCTGCACTCACTTTCCCGTGCTGCTGAGCAGAAACAGTGGTGGTGGCTCAGTGCTAGCACCATGTCCCTCCACTGTCACCCAGTCGCCCTCCCCGGTTCTGACCCAAACTCCCCCCCACCATCTCCGCCTCTGGCCCTAAAGGTTGCTGCCCGCGGTGCTGGGGCACTGCTGCGCGCGGGCGCTGAGCAGCTCCTCACAGGCCTGCTGGAGGGAAGCATGGTTTGGTGCCTGGGCCCAGACACGCTCAGCAAATCTGGGCACCTAGGGGGACACGGCCCCGAACAACTGTTTTCCTTTTTAGCAGGAGATGGCAGCAGCCGAGACACAGCGCTTCCCTGGCACGGAGCGGCCGCGCTGCGGTGAAACAGATGCTGTGGTGGTCGAGAAGCTCGTCGCTGCAGCACATGCCTCGGCACCCGCTACAGCCCCTTTTGTCTGGAGTTTCCTGCTGCAGCAGGCAAGGGCTGAGCAGGCCTGGACACAGCAGTACGCGCCGCCCGGCGTGGAGCACGCGCAGCCCTGGAAGGGGCCTGTGAGGGGACAGACATTAGAGCAGCCGGGGGGGACACGGCTGGGCACCTGCTGTGTCGGTGCAGGGTAAGGCCTCGCATGCTGGTGGCTGCAGGAGCTGGCTGGCTGCTGACGCTGTGGTCCTCATCCGGCTGAACGGCTGCACTGCAGCTCTCGTGTTTGTCTCGCAGCCTGACGGGGCACTTTGCATGCTGCCACATAGGCAAGATGTGCAAGCGGGTGCGCAGCGGCCGACCTGCCCCTCAGGCCTCTAGCCCTAGGCTGTTGGCATCACTGGCAGTCACATATTATTAACCCCTGCCCAGCTGCGACCTTGCTGGCATCTGCATGTCTGCTGCTGGCCGTGTGGCACTTCACTAACACCGGAGGCGCCAGCAAGGCTCAGACTGGACGCTTCTCCCTCTCCCCCGTGGGGCCTGGGAGAACGGGCACAGGGCCCGGAGCACTCACATCACAACAGCCCTGGCAGACCTAGCGCCCCATGTCCTGTAACCCAGTGAGTTGGGAAAACCAGGTCCGCACCCCTCAGCAAAGGAGCAGGGGAGGGGGTCAACCAAGGAGGCTTCCCTCCCAGGAGAGTGCCCTATGAAGCTCTAGGTTATGCTCAGGTAGGGCTCTCACTCGTCTGAGAGCTTGGGGTAAAAAGGCAGATGTTGGATTTCTCCTGGGACAGATGCAATGCCTCTCTCCAGCTGGAGATGAAACTCCTACAGAAGGGGCATAAAGCCTGCCCCTGGCTCCCTGCTCCATTTGCTGGTTTCTGCACATCTGGTTTGAAGCACCTAATCCCCCATGCGTTTTGGAGGAGCCTGGGCACTCAGAGCAATTCCACCAGGCAACAGGACACCTAGGAGCTGGGTGTTAAAACACCCACCTCTCCTTGAGGCAGTCTAACCCTGGGCATCTCATCATGAACAAACCTTGTTTTTATGAGCTCTCAAACTCCAGGGGCAAATATGAAGTATGTACTTCTGTGTTACAGGCACTTCTCCTGCAGATGGCGTGCGCCAGTATTCTCACCCCGCCACCACCTCCTCCCAGGGGCTATTCATAACTAAGTAGTAGTTTGCTCTTGGGATACCTGCCCTGCAGCTGGGATTGTGTTACTGGATTGTTAGTGACACAAGACATTACAGGCAACTGGACCTGAACAGGTGACCACCCCAGCATCTTTAGTAAAGTGAAGGTCTGGTCCCCATGCTGCCTGGGTAGGAAATTCTCCACATCAGAGCCCTCATTGGCACTGGCCACCTGAGGCCTTTGAAAACCTGATCTCAGTGCAAGGATCAACCACTCAGTGGCCGACCAGCACATTTTTCTCAGGGTTTCCAGAGTTGGTAACATCCTACCTGTATCAGATCTTCAGGGATTAAGCCCTGGTGCTGCTGCACTGACATCCCACAAAGTCTACATGAAATTATTTTGATGTTTTAAAGACAATCCCTATGGCAACAGGGAAAACAAGTTTTTAATTTATTTCAGAGGGAAGGGACACAACAGAAAGGGCTACCTCTTCTGCATAGGATAGAAAGCGAGGGATATTTTCAATACTGAAGTAATTCACTCATTTCTGATCACTTCCCAACATGCTCAAAATTGAGTCAGGCCTTTGTGTTGGAGCAAATGCTGTGTATTTGACCCTGCTGCACCTTCACTTCCCTACTCAGCCTTTAATATACAGAGAAAAACTGGCATGACAAATCAGGAAAGTGCGACTCCCCCCAACCAGATACAACCCTGTCTGAATGCTTCTTGCATGTCAAGTTTGTTACATTCCCATCCGCCATCAGGCCCTTCTCAGGTGGATCACGCGTGTGCATTCTCTGTCTGTACCAGAATGCCAGTCTCAAGGCACTGCCCTGCCACAGCATGCAAGAGACGCAGTAATCCTTCTGCCCGATTAAGGAACAGCAGTGTTCAAAAGCAGAGGTCCAGCCAGGCCTACTCAGCTGGAAGGACACTGGTGAAAAGTAGGGGGAAGTCGACACGATTTGAGGACTCCTCTGAAGTGCAGAGGAAGCGCATGGCAATGTACTCCAGAATGGATATGGGAAAACGAGGTTTCAGCTCAAACGCCAGCTGTATGGTGCTCAATGGCACAGCAGCATGTGTGGCATTTTAAGACTAAACACTGTTCAAATCCCCTCCGTGTCCAGGCACAAGAGAACTGATTAAAACCATGGTGCTTCAGCCCGGGCATTTCAATTCCCACGCTTGATATTGCCATAAGTGTGTTTCAGTTTCCTCTGGAACGAGTGCTTTAAGCAAGCTGTTTCTTTCAGGTTCTTTATGGCTTTACTGCATACGTAACATCCATTAAAGAAAGTATTTGAACAGATCCCTTGTCCCTTCACTGGCACTTCAGCTGCCAAAAAACAGTTGTTCTAAACCACTGCAAATAACCTACCATGAGTCAGAGCCTAAATTAAATGACAATGCTTGAAGACCAAATTGCAAAGGTTTCTCTTTGCTATTGAATGAGCCTGTCTGCACAAAAGCGCACCCTGATCTCATATTGCTCATGAATGGAGTGTAAAAAAAAATATATAATTTGGTTGGTGATGAACACTTTGACTAAACACGGTGAGTTTATTATGAAATGAACCTGGTAAAAGCATTTGCACATGTCAAGACAGACCAGTATGAACTTTAAAACCTCCCTCTTCCAATTTATTGACAGGTAAATTGTTCAAAAATGTTCTCACAATTCAATAATTACAAAGACTTAGACTTACATTAAAAAAGTAAAAACCAGAAAACCCCCAAAGCAGTAGTGTCCAGCTCTAAGTGAGCACCCTTTATCAATAATCTGAGAGAAAGCAAGTACTGTCAAACACTTAATGAAACAGGATTAAATGTTGACTAGAACACTCAGTTTAAACTAAGTAAGTGCACGTCCTATACAGTGTTTCAGAAAAGAACATTAGCCATCGGTATATCATTTGCCCATTTAAACCAAATTTTAAATAAGTGACATCCAACTGTCATAGAATTGGCACAGAAGGCACACTAGTGTGACAATGACAAACTGGATATGCCAGCCACTGAATTAATTACAAGCTTTTCATGAAATGTGGTCACAAATCCTTGATTACTAAATGTATAATACATGGAAGCATGAGAGTAAATATACACGCAAAACATCACCACTGCACGTGGGCCATAGCAAAATATACAGGAGTGTGTTGTGCATTTTTCTACATGATCAATATGTGATTAATAATCATGGGGTCTTCATGCAGGTGAGGATACAATTAATGAAAAAAAGCAGCACTCTCGTTTACACGTCCTTCACGTTCCACTTTGGTTACCAATACAAGACTGGTGTTTTAGTATGATACAGTCCCTTAATTCAAGCAGACTTCAAGGGTAGTGTTCCCACAAGAATGCTTGCTAGCTAAAAAAAAAAGGGAAAAAAAAGTAGTGTATCTTTACACTGAAAAACCAAGAGAAAACTTCTCAGAAGAGGAGAGCAGGAACTAGGAGTAAAATCTGTTTTCACAGCAGTAATCACTGATGTTTTAAAAGCCCTGACTAATGATCATGACTGGGGCAGGGGCTAAAAAGTGGGGTAAGGGCAAAATGTTATTGGTTACAGTCCTATGTACAAGACTTAAAAGTGGGTAGAAAGATAGAAAGACAGTTGTGTAGCTGAATATGTAATGGCTAAATGAATTAAAAGGCCACAATACTATAACCAACTTTCCTTTGACTTCCTAATGGTTTTACTGATGTTGGAAACAACCTACAGCTTCCTACCATTCTCCTAAAGGCTTAGGGAACAAACAGTTATGGGAAAAGGGGAGAAGTATATTTATCTGAGGATGCAACTAAACCTGCTTGTATTTCCTATTCAGAGATCCAAATTTGTCTAAAAGGATTTCCTGCTAATGAGACATTACATCATTCTATAGAAAAATAATATTCCTGATACTGCTTAATAACAACACTATCAGCATCTCTTCTCTATTTCTTTTTCAGCATAAGAATAAGACTATTTACTGGTGGCTGTCAATGCTTCTATGCAAAGTAACTGTATCATAGCTGTGCAGAAAGGAATCAACCATGACTGAACAGTGAACAATTCTGCATAAAAAGCCTGATCTCTATTGTAGTAAAGGGTTTTTCTTCATTTCAATATTTTGTATCTACAATCTGGACATATAATAATTATTTCTTGTGCAACACTAGAGATTCAGCATCAGCCTTGGCACTAGCATCTGAGACAGCTTGGCCCCGGCTCTGGAATACTCCGTGGAGTAGCAGATGATCAAAGTCAGAACTGGTGGGAGTTGTAGTGTTACGCGTCACAGGTTGACTGATCCAATCCATCTAGTGTCAGCTGATTCCTATGCGGAGAATTGGGACTTGGGGGACCGCTTGGGTTTGAGCTGTTAGAGGGAGTAGAGTGTTTGGTGGAGTCTGAATCAGGCTGTTAAAGAGAAACATTAAAAAGGATTACATTTCTTATTTAAAATATGCTGCAACTAAGCAGCTCTCAAGGCACTTCACAAATTATCCTGTGTAACACATTTATGAGGCAGGCAAGTGTGGGACTTGTTTTACTGATTCCAGCAAGAGACAGAGAAATGTAGGGGCTGGCACAATGTGAACTGAGGTCAATGCAAGTATTTCCATTAGTGTCAGTGGGCTCTGGATCAGTCATTTACATGACTTACTGATACCAGACAAGTCAGGAAAAGAACTCAGGAGTCGCTCCTTCCTTTCCTAAGTCCCCCTGTAAACTACTCTTCCTTAGCCACTAAGAAGCTATTTCTGTACGACAGCAAAAGGCGTTTGTAGTCACTGTAATGCAGGATTTTTCAGGATGCTCTCTTTTAGCGACTGAAACAGATAAAAATAGAGTTTGTTTGCACATATGGTTTATAAATAATCTATCCAAATGCTTCTGTTTGTTGGTAAGTAGAGAAGGGAAGAAGTTAAATAGTTTGCAAATTGTTTACCAAGCGGCTCTGGCAGCATTTTGACTGCATGACTACAAAGTATTTTGACTGCATGACAAAAATCATAGATGCCAAACAGACTGGATGCCGAGGAAGGTCCAGAAGTAACAGGTATTTACTGGAGAATCCTTCCAGCAAGTAACTCAATTCAGAGAGCCTCTCTGTGGTCATTTTCCAGATGTCCTGCTGACAGTTGGAACTCTGCCTCCAAATCTTGGTCCTACCTCAGCAGCCAGTTGGCTACTTTCCCACTCTTTTGGTGCAAGTTGTAAGGCCTGACACTGCACAAATTCATGGCTAATGAAAAGCTTCATGGGGAAACCACTGTCACTACTGGCAGTTATTTTGGGGAAGGGGAATTTATATTTAGCAGAAAGACTGAAAGGTGACATCCTTGAATGATGTTGTTCCTGAGATTGTCTTGGCTCAGATAAACAAGGCCATCTATAATAAGATTATTCTGACAAGATAAACAATTGAATTCATGCTGTGACACATGGCAACGAGCCATGGGGGAAAAAATGCTATAAAGTTGCAAAGCATCATTAGAGCTTAATTCTACACATATAATGAAGTATTACTTTTTAAATGAAACCCTACGTGACAGCCAGAACAAACCTGTTTACACAAATATTTAAGTCCTACCAGAATATGCATCTACAATTAGCAGCAAATAATTAGAATACAGACAGTACAACAATGAAAACAAGATCTGCAGGTGGCAGCAGCCTAAAAACATCAAGATCTTTTTGTGCCTACATGCAGAATCCCAATTTTAAAATGCTTGCTCTGTGTGGTTTATTCAAATCAACTACAAGCCAGCACAGAACTCTGGGCCATGACCATCAGAAGTGCTGGGGGTTGATGTGTACAGCTGAAGAGAACCAGATACTTGTTGGTAGGTAAGTAGAGAAGCAGTCACCTATGCAATCGCCCTCTGAAAATCAGGTCTTTAAAAATTAGGCACTCAAAAATCACTAATTGCTTGTGAAGATCTTGGTCTATGGGTTTATCTCCTAGTTATGTTTCTAACATTTCCATCATAGGAAAGACTAAGCCAGGGTCAATACAGGTGAAATAGCTCACTTTTACTACACTGATGAAAAACCCTGGAGTTTCTCCTGTTTATACTGCTACAGCTATCAGAAAGGCAGAAGGCAAGGCAGACTTCAGAGGTATGACATTTTGTAAGCGATAACTCACTTTGGTAGCAACAGGCAACAATGTCCTGGCAACAACCACCTTCATCAGAGGCTAACAAAAGCTCATGCCTCTGAATCAGTTAGTCTCTAATGCCTTTGACATGTTACATTTTTTGTACTATATATGCTGTTTCAGTGTGACAATGCAAGTGTCCACACATTCACAGCCTCCCAGAATCCCAGAGCAGTCCACTCTGCTTCCTAAGGGTGGATGGAGGCATGGCAAGCAGCTGGCTCCCTGTTAGTCCACCCAGCCAGCAAGCTCTCAGAGCCCTGCAGGGACTCTGCTGCCACAGCTGTCAGTCTTGCCAGCGCTCTAGCAGTGGTGGTGGTGCTGCAAGAACAACCATCACCGCTGCCCGAACACTGGGAAGAGCTGGGGTTCTGGCGGAGGCAGAATGGGAGTCTCTCCCACCAGATCAGCCCTTGTGACATGGGTGGTGCAAGAGGAACCCATCTCTACCTTGCTAGGGAAAGAAAAACTATAAAATGTCAACATCAATCTTCATTTTACCTCTTTGTCAAACTCCTGGTCAGGATCAGACATACTGCGCAAAGGCATGGCTCCTCCCACATCACTGCCACCTGCCAAACAAAGGCATTTTACACCTCTTGTTGAAACAATGGAAGCGATAACCTGGGGGAGGGGGGTGCTTGGTTTCAGTCTTACCTGATGAGGGCCATGAAATGTAGGTTTTGCTTTTCTGCTGCTGCCGTGAGAGGTTAGCTGCAGGGGGACATGCTTTCTCATCTTGCGCAGGAGGTAAGACGCTCTGCAACAGAAACCAAGCAGACCATTAGCTGGCAATAAGATATTCCCAATTAAGGCTTTTCCCCCCCCTCAATAAAAGAAGTTCTAACCTCATTTCACAACTCCGCTTCTGGAACGATTACACAGCATTGTTACAGAAACAAAACCCAACCCACTGCACTTGCTTCACTGCATCCATACACGCACCCTTCAAACACCCTCAAAGAAAGCACTGAACCCAAAAGTGGCCATTAGAAATTCCTCCCAGCTGCTGGAGACAGGAATCATTGGAACCTGAGAGCCAGCAAACCCTTTATATAGGGGTAGTGACACCACCACGAGTTCTGTTTTCCTGTCTCCTCCTGCTGGGAGGAAGGATGCATTATCCTTATCTGGACTAGCTAAGAAGGATGAGAGAAATGCTGGCAGTTTTGAAATGAAAGGTAGGAGAGATACAACTGTATGTTCACAGCTTACTCTGAATTAACTTTGTTTTAATTTAGCAGCTGACAAAGGGTTACACTTGTTAATCCAAAGTACAAACAAGAAAAGCAGTAAACAATGACTTACATGCATGCTAGTATTTAGCTTCCAATTGGGTTAGTTTCCCCCAGTAATTTTGCTCTAGTATTGGCAAAGTGCCACTGCACACCATTCCAGTTCCTAAGGTTTAGAGCTACTCCTACCCTTGCTAAGGAAGCAGAGGAGGGAGAGGAAGAGGAAGAAAGCAGAGGGGAGCCTTGCAGTGAGGCCTGGTCATTCTGGAGAAAGATTTCAGCAGAGATAGGGCTCATGTGATAGACGTGCTCAAAGCTTGTTGGAGGTGATATCAGAGCAGAGTGTCGAGAGGATGAGGGGGAAGGAAATTCATTCTGTTATTTTAACAAGACAAACAAGAAAAAGGAAGGAGGAGAGACTGATTATTTATAAAATACTATCAAACTCCTGGCAGTGCTATTTGTTTCTTCCAGCTTTCCATTTGTAAGCTGGCTACGTATATTTCCTTGCATAGGATTTAGAAGCATTAGGCATCGTAATAGCATACAATGTTTGAAGTCATGACAGGAAAGTGAATGATTTTGTCTACTTATGCTTAAAACCCTATACATTCCTTTCTGTGTAGCTTTTCCATGCAAAGCTGAACATGAGTATCCCCTCGCCATTATACTGATTTTACCAGAGGGAGATCCATGAGAACTTGCATTCCATCTCCTGGTCCCATATGAGCCACATGGTTGAAATTGGTCGGGTTGGAAATCATTTTTGACCTTAACTCAGGATCTCTAAGCATTTCTCTGGGAGGGGGAAAAAATATAGAATTTTTTAAAATATCTGCAATCTTTCCATTTCAAGGGGTACAAATTATGCAGAGAATGTAAATTCTTACCGCCTTTGTTGCAGTCTCTCTTCTTCAGGAACCTTAAAGACAAATCTCCTTTTACTTCTAGTTCGAAGCATTTGCTTTTTGCTGTTATCAGAAGTTTCTGGCACACTGAGGACTGCTCCTGCTGCACCACAAACACACGATGCAGTCACACATGTGCATTAGATACTCACACAATAAAATCTACCTCCTAACATGCATTGTTTTAAAAAAATGTGATTCCTTGAATCTACATTTTACTAACCTGAGAACTTATTCTTGAAATATATTAGTCGCGGTGGCTCACAGTTCAGGAGATTCAGTGTTCCCTCCACATTTAGTGGTCTGATCTGTTTTGGAAACGAAGGGGGGGAAAGAATCAACCCATGTCTGGCATACACTGGGGAGCCTACATGCCAATTCAGAAAGTTGCACAACAGAAGAAGTGAACGACTTACTCTTCTAAGGCCAATAGTCTGAACCCACTCCATAGTGTTAACATCGAAGACATCAACGCCGTATTCACTATACACTGTTATGTATGAAGAATTGCAACCTGGAACAGATTAAAAACAACAAAAACAATGGAGAGCTCAGCAACTGTGGAGTTGGAATAAGCTTGGGCAATGCTTCTGTAACAGTACATGTTTATTCAGTTGTGTGGTATGTGAGGAGTGAGAGGAGTGAAAAATTAAAGACAATAGATCTCCATTTTTTCAAAGTTACCCATCTTTAACGTAGAGACTCTAATAGGCCTTCTTGGGCTACATTAGCAAAATGTTTGCTGTGGACAACCACTGCTACCCTGGAATATTTCTTTATTGTGATATTTTGGATAAATTCACTGCTTTTGACTTCATATTATGATTTTAATCATCTTAAGATGGTGTCTAGAGCCTAGACACTAAGTGTTAAGATTATCAACTTGCTATTCCATAGGAAAAACAGCCTCTTTCAGGTTACTATTTATGAAGATGCAGTTTGCTGCATTTTGAATATGATGCAAGTTTATAACATACAGCTGGCATAGGTGGCAGGGTCACCATCTGTGAGGCGAGTCATTCAAGGTTTTGCCACCAATCTTACTTTTCATTTCCTCTCTTCTGATCTGAATAATTTACCAACATGCACATATATACCCAAAGGTACCATCAGGTTAATGGAACACACCACTTGGGACTTTCAAACTTGCTCTCTCTCTGTTTCTGAACCAAAGTCAGATCAATTAGCAAATAACTTTAGGTTAGCTCAGAGGAAAATGCAAAGAATCAGGACATCTTGGCACCAAGCAGCTTGCATGAGAAAAAGGCCCATGTTCCTTGGAAAAAACAGCTACTACTGTTCTTGTGAGATTTTTGGGTTGGGGGAAGGGGAGGGGAGTAGAGAACTGCTTTAATTAATAAGGAAGGGGAAAATGAAACAGGAAAGCCTGATATATAATTGAATCTATGCAAGAGAACAATGCAAATAGAGGGAAGCCTAGAACAGATGGCTATCATGAACCAAACCCTATCTTCTAGAAATGACTTAATGCCTGGACAGGTTTACACATACACATTGGTGTTATTGGTATAACACTATGGTAGAGGGGCAAGATGGAGGGGGAGAGAAGTGATAGACAGATAATGCAAACTCCTAAATGAGGGTAACTTCACTCAACTGGTACAGAATTACCCCTGATAGAATTAAGGTAAAATGCTATCGTCACACAGTACAGCAACTTAGGGGTCTGTGCACATCTCTCCTGGGGTAGCCATTAGGTCTCAGCCCCCTAGTAACAAAGCACCCCAGAGACAGTGTATTGTGAGGGCTAATTCAGGTCAGCTGCAGATGTCTGTGCTCTACCTGGTGAGGGCCATATTCAGATAGACTCCTTCCCCTAATGTTAGAGTAGTGGCTTTCAACTTTTTTTTTTTTTTTTTTTTTGAAGTCAGGGCACCTTCCACCACTTCTGAATTTGGCAGCACTCCTGGTTGAGAACCACTATTGTGCTTCCTCCAATGACCTTGGTGGCTCTCAGCTGGGGAACTGTCCCTCACTCCTGCCTGTAGGGTTTTCTG